GTTCCCCCTCAACCCATATCCATCTGCCGGCGGCAGGCAGTCTGAGGCTGAAGTTTTGCCCAAAGGGGGCGGTGATCCATCCGCCCACATTGACATTTCGAGCAGCGTTGTCATGAAACCTTTTGCTAAGGATTATGCAAATCTGCCACTCATCGTGCACTCACTCACACACACACACACACACACACACACACAACACATTCACAAACACAACACACACACACACTGCCATGGCGTGCCTTCATTTACATTTACATTCAGCTAGCTGAAGATTTGCGCATCATAATTTATGGCCCTCAAACCCCATATTTCCTCGTCCTCGAAAGAGACAGCTAGCACTGGCTAGAGAGAGAGAGAGACAGGGAGAGGCAGAGACAGAGAGAGACAGGCAGGCTCGGCAGGAGAGAGACACTTCATTCAGAATGCCTCAAAAATTGCCCACAGTTATGACAGGCCAGGTGAACTCTGACAGAGACAGGAGCCGAAGCCCCAGCCAGGATTCATTTGGAATCTTATTCACGTCCAGAGAGGGGCACTGTGAGAAATAACCATAGAGTGCTCTTTAAAAGCAAAAGAATTTGCAATAATTAAGGATATACAGAATATGCTCAAAGGATATAAGAGCTAGAGATTTGAAAACAGGTTTATAGGCTTCAGTTTTCAAAATATGAGATAGGTTATTTGACTTCACTTGCTTATTTTTTAAGAATTTACATTTTAAAGGATATTTACTTGAAATGTTTGATGTTTTGTCACTACTTAAGGCTTTTTTAAAGTATTTATATTAATAAAATAAAATAATAAACCAAAGGGGACGATTTGTAAATGGGAAAATATTTATAATCATCAAGCTTACTTTGCATTAATATATCTGTCTGATATAAATAAATTACCTTAATATATACATATGCAAGTCCTATTTATTTTGTTTATTTTCCAAAGCATTTCAATACTATTAAAGCTTAGCAAAAAAAAAAAAACAAGCTAATATTATTCAAATGTCCCCTAAATACGTTTATTTATTTTACAAGTGCTGCCCTTGCAATAATATTTATCTTCACACCAAAATGTTCAGCATTATTATCCTTGCCATTTTTTGTTTTTGGTCCTGTGTACTTTTTAGACGTGGATCTCGCTCGCTTGCCCTTCCATAATTAAATCATAAAAAATTGTTTTTTAATGAAATTAGTTGGTTGGTTTTTCTGTGCCGTTTGTTTTCGTTTTGGCTTTGCTTTGCATGATTTGTCATAATTAATACCCAAGTGGGCAGCGTGAAGGTAGAGCGGGGGCCAAGAGTTATCTGACAGTTGGAGAAGCTGCCCGGGCCAACACTTTTCGAGATGGTGCACTTTTGACCATTTGCCTGGCTGGGATCGTAGGTCCTGGATCCTGGATCCTGGCCCCCATAAAATGCTTATGAAAAGCGCTTAAATTTACTAACCTGCAAGGTGAGCCAAAAAGGGGGTCGCATGCAAAAGGCAAACAACGTAAACACCTTTAAAAGGGGAGGTTGAGGGCAGGGCTTTTCGGGCAATGACTGGACTTGGCTGCCAGATCCTGATAGTTGGCTCCACAATTTCCATGCGGAGGGGGACTTTACAAAATGTGTAGTTTATTTGCAATTTTTTAGCCAACGAGCTTTACGTTTCTGTTTTGATTCCCCGCCGCCTCCCTGCATGTGGAATTTTTCGTTATCGCAGAGCTTGCAGCAGCAGCAGCAGCTGCATCAGTTGCAATAAAATCAGTGGCCAAAAGGTTGCAGCATCTGAGGTCAGCTGGGTGGCACTTTTCCACTTTTCCTTCCACTTTCCACTCTGCCCTCTCCTCTGGTGTTGGTATGAATATGTGTGCGCTTGTTAAATAGAACATTTGCTGGGGAAAATCCAACATGCGATGGCTAAAATTTGGAATTTGTCCGTTTTGCTTTGTTTATCCAGCCAGTTTTTTAGCCCCATTTTCATTTGGTTTTTGTATTTGCAAAATAGTTTTCTGATTTGCATTTAAAAGGTGCTCTTCGTTAGGGCTTTAAGGGTCATACATAGCCTACAAATACCGAGATACAAATGTATCTAATGGTTGCTTGTGAATGGGAATTTACTTCTTCTCTCTCTAATTGGAAATGCTGTTTGTTCTTTGTGGAAATATTAGATATTTTAAGATTGTGTATAGTGATATTTTTCAAGGGATTTTAAGTAACACAAAGTGCCTTAGATATGGTTAACAAATTGAATAATTAAACTAATTTGATTGAAGAGTAAAGAACTTTTTGTTGTTAACAAATGCTTGAAGGTGAATCTTAATTTTAGTTTAAAACTAAATCCAGTTTAATGAAGAGTATAAAAATGGCAACACTAAACTAGGTATGAAAAGGGATACATTTGAAAAGGATACAATGAACATCAAATGGCTGGGCAAATAGAAAATGCACTGCAGGCGAAAATAAAAATATATAAATTTGAGCTTCGGCAACATGAAATTGGCTGGATGGATGGCCAGGGCAGCGTCATAAATTACTATAGATATATATATAGTATATACATTCTATATATAGTGTTCAGTTGGGAGAATCCCTGTGCTGTTGTGGGCGCTACGCATGCAACTATTAATCATATTGAATGGCGCGCCCTGACTTGTCCAGCTAATCAATCTTGCCAGGAGCAATCTCTTCGCTCTCATCTCATCCAAAGGCGAAAGAAAAATGGCCGCTAAAGTCATTAACGCCTCGCTGGTCACCTGCCGACGAAAATGTGGCGAGGGGAAAATCGCTGAAGGAATAACAGGGGGAGTTTCCCACTGGTAGGTAAACTAAGCCGCCAGTTGCCATTTTGCTATTTTGTTTATGGCCCTGGCGCAAATCTCTTGCCATATCTTTCAGCGTCGTCCCCTCCTGCCTCTAGGATCCCCGTTGGATTTTCCCTTGTCCCCCACCTTGGATTTTCCCAGCTGCCCAATGAGGCGGCAGGCAAAAGCCAAAGGGGATTAGTTGTAATCAATAACTTGGCCAAGAGTGTGTGTATGTGTGTGTGTGTTTGGAGGAGGAAAAGCGGAGGAAAACTGGTCTTGGGCTTCTGTTTTGTTTGCCTGTCGAAAGTTTCTCCGCACAGCTTATGGCCGGGCTTATACACTCGCAGCCAAGTTATTATTATAATTTCCTTTGCCAATGCGGATTAATTGAAAAGTTTTCCATTAAGAATTCGCGCTTGGTTAAATCGCCTCGCCGTCTTTTGTTTCACCTTTTCCATAAATATTGCCCCCTTATAGTATAAATATATATATATATAGTATAAGTATCTTCACTATTTGATCGTTATGGATTTTGACAGTTTCGCTTGGCTATGATGAAAATTACTTAAAAGCATTTTGCCCCTCGCGCTGATTTGATTGATGGCCGTTTATGGATTTCCTCCCCTCGCACTCTCTCTCTCTCTCTGTCGTCATTATATTCGCATTATCAAGTGCCAAAGCCATATAAATATATATATATAAAGATATATTTATATATATTGAAGTGGGCGGGGCATTGGAGCATTGCAAATGGCAGTTGACGTCTTGTGGTGAAGAGCTGACAAAAAGTTGCGCCAATTTATGTCAATTATCGGAAGCTTTACCTGCGGAATTGGGTTTCATTTTGGTTGGGGGATTTCGAAGGAAATCAAGGGAAATCCCCCCACGAGAGCAGGCTGTAATTTGCTGGGGAAAAACAAATAATGGCATTTTTAGTTGTTACCCGATATGGCCAGTTTTTCTTTATATCTTTTTTCTCCCCTCTCTGGAAAACATTCAAATTTGTCATCGAGTGACTCGGAAATTTGAGAATGTTCTCGGATGAGGAGGCATCCTTTTTATTTTTATTTTGGTTCATTTTGGATGTATTCAAGTGAAGTTTGCGTTATTGAGATTAAATTGTGAGTGGGAATTAGATTTCTGAACTCCCTTTTTAGGGTTTAGATTGGGTTACCTTTCGGGGAAAACCTTTTTGCTTCCTTTCTACATTAATGTTCGCTTTACTTTATAGACTTCCTAATAGAGCGAAGAAGAATTTCTTTAGAAGGCTTTAAATATTTTATATTCTCAATAAACTGCTTGCATCCTTTCACCGCAATCCCTAAGCACCTTGACTTTCCTGCTTTCTCCCCTACACACAGACCATTTAAGGCTTAAACTCCTTTCAGCTTCACAGAAATCTTCCCTCTTCAGTAAAATCCCCTCGAATAGCACATCGTTAATGAAAATCCTGGCAGAGCAGGGCAGAGTCGCTCATTAAAATCGGCGGGGCCAAATCGATTTTCGTTTAGTATCGTAATCAACAACACAGAATTTTTGTTCTCGTGCTAAAAATTTGTTTTTTGCGCTATAACAAGTCTGCGGCGGAGGCCCCATTTCATTTCGCTTCGTTTTTTGGCCTTTCGGGGGGCAGAGGCCAACATGGCTGAATGGAGAACTTAAAGAGCACTCGAACGGCACTCAGCCGCAAACACACACACACTGCACACTCGATATGCATATGTGTGTGTCTAAGTGGAGTTTGCCGCCGAAGGGTTTGGGGGAGGGGGCCAAAAGTGGAGTCCTGTGCTTTGCAGTACTTGTCAAGATTGAATTTGGTACGAATTTTGGTTTTTTTTTACAGGTTTTTCTCTTTCATTCGTTTGGTTTCGTACAATTTTCCATTTTCTCTTTCCTTTTTTTTTGGCGTTTTTATTGATCAAACAAAACGTAGCAAGTGGCAGCCAGTGAAGGTGTCACTGCTTACAAAAAAAAAGAATAAGAAAGAAAGGAAAATATATTTGTGTACTGCTAAAATTGTATGGGGAACACGCGCTGTGCGAATAGATTGCATGATTTGCCCCACTGCCTGTCATTCTGATTTTTTATGATTATTATTTTGCTTCATTTCGTTTAGCATTTTGGCATGTGACTGCCTCGATACTTCGTCTTCCATAGAAAATATATACTAAATATGTATATATGAAGAAAGTTCCACTAGTTCCAGTGCTACTTACCGGACCAAACTGTTCGAAGTAGCTTTTGACATCCTCCAGTGTGGTGGGCGCCGAGAGGCCGCCCACAAAGATTTTCTTCGTTCTCGTCACCATCTGCAAGTGAAAAGAAAAGCATTGAGAATGGTGTGGGTTAATAATGAGCGGAAAGGTTAAGTGGAATGGCCTGGCATTTAAATATGCATTTTATACGAAAGTTATGACCCTTTTCCCTTCTTCTTTTTTTGCTCAAGTTCCCCGTAACTTATGGCCACCAACTTTCGCCATGAGTCGTTCGACCATTTTGTGCATTTTATGTACTACATGCATGGCTCCTCCGCCGTGTATCTGTCTGCGTGAGCTCCAGCTTCGGGGTGTGTGTGTATGGGTGTAAAGGATGTAAAGGGTGTAAGGCTGTGAGGCTCTGCAGCTGTGTGTGTGTGTGTGCATCTGGCATTTTTAAGCTGACAGTTTCAAGTGCCAACTTTACGCAGTTAGCGCAGCAGCAACAGCAGCACAGAAGCAGCACAGAAGCAGCATCAGTAGCAGGAAAAGCGGGAAAACTAGCAGCAGCCGTCGACCACCCAGCACCGAAAATGATGGCGAGACAAGGACGAGCAGTCTGCCTCAGGCCTGCATACGTATGTGCACTGAGCGGAAGGATATGGACAAAGTCAAGGAAATTGCTTTAAATAGGAAGGAGAAGAATCTCAAGGAGAATATAGGGAAATGTAGAACCTTATTTAACTTTCTTATTTATTAATATTTGGTTAATTAAATCCAGGATCTATGAACTTTATGCCTTACATTCTAGTAATAATTAAATGCCTGTAAATACTTAATTTCGATATCAATCACCACATTCTAAGTACTCTACTTAAAATATCCTTCAATTTCTCTAATTCCTTGCAGTGTATGCGTGTGTTAGCTGTTTCTCTGTGCGTGTGGTCGTGTGTGTGTAGAGTGTGTGCAGTGCAACGCCAGCCTTTTTAGCCCGCAGGCAAGCGTAAACTGTTAACGTTAAGTGACGGCAGTTAAGGCACAGTGGGCCCTGCAAACGCTATGCGATGTGCTATACGCGATATGCTATATGCGATATGCGATACGGGAGTGCAGCTCTCTCACATTTTAATTTGGATAACTTTGAAAAAATTACCCACAAGCTAAGCTAGCTAGAGACCTGCCCCCAGAGAGATCCTGGCTGAGAGTTCACAGAGGCTGCTCCTGCAGGAGGAAGGAGCCATGGAATGGCGGCATCCATGGTTCAAGGGACCCTCTTCTCGAACAAACCGGATGAAGCTGATGACGCTGATTGCACTGACGCTTGCAAGCTGCAATTTATGAGCACGGCACAGACAACGGGGGTTTGAGGCGTTGGAAAATGCCCCTCCTGTCCCCTCCTCTCTCACCATATTTTCCTACCCGACTTCGCTGGCGATGTGGGATATGTCCGTTAAGGAAGCTAACGATATGTAACAGCGGTGCTGATGTTTCTGCAGTGCCAGCAGTAAAATTCATACAATGTCGTAAAATTAAAACACTTGTGCTGTCGCTGGGGGTGTGCGAGAGGAAGCGAGATGGCCAGAGAGGGGCGTTTTAGATGTTGCTACAAAGTTGGTCGTGCAGCTTTTGGCAAGGCAAATCGCTTTGGCCCAGGAATAGAGAGTAAGTCCTGAGACTCTGGCTCCCGGCTCCTGGCTCCCGACTCCTGGCTGCTTCTTCCTGTCGCTCTTAGTTTCTTCTTTTTTTTTTTGTTCTACCCACTTGTTCTTTTTTGTATTTTTTGTTTTGTCTATGCTGCACTTTAGCCAGGTTGAGGAGAACTCACTGGCTGTGGTTGTGAGGGGGCTTTGGGGGCTGGCACCGCGGGCGTTCCCTCTAACAATTTGCAAGACCAAAAACGAACAGAAATCAAGTTGAGAGTGGCGCTGCAAGAAAGTAACTGTAACAACATGACGTCCGAGACAACGTCGAGCCCGGCCAGAACCTGGGAACCACACTGTAAAACACCCCTTGGAGCACAGCGCCCTGGTGGCTCATCATCACCAGCCACAAAATGGGCACAGAAATTGCAGCGTTGTTAAAAAGCGATTCAAAACTGCAGTGGCCAGCACTTTGGGTGTCTCTTTTTCAATGTGCACTGGCCAAAAAATTAGCACTTGTCCGTTATCAAGATAGAAAGGAGCTAGCTGAGAGTTCAAATAACTATTGAGGGGAAGATTCATAAAGATATTATAACATACAATATAAAGTGAAGGGACTTCCTTAAGCAAATCCCTTCAATTTTCTTCACTTCCTGAACGCTAATCACTCCACAAAATGGAGCTACTTTAACTAATAAACTGAAGCCGGGAGTTTGATTGTCGACGGCAGCGGCAGTGGCGGCGGCAATGTCATCATCAAATATAAATGAACCAGTTTTGGGAACACGCCCAGTGCTGATAGCGGGGCATGAATCAAAAGCAAAACACACCCAGGCCGAAGGCAGGGAGCCGAGAGTCCGGTCCGAACGCGACCTCAAGACAAATACAGGCCGCAGAGCACACACAGGATACACGGGGCCGCAAGGATACAAGGCTACAAGGCTAACACTCAGATACGCAGATACTCAGATACAAATGGCACCACACACGCATACTAACGAAGTGACACGGCATTTTAACGGCCGCCGCAGCGGAGCACAGATTAGGAATGTCAATATTGGCCACAAGGACTTGCGATGAGCGGCAGGATATACGTCCGGGGACGAGCAAGCAGTCGGAGGTCGAGTGGGCGGGCCAGACAACTGGCAGAGTGTCTGGTCATGTCTTTTTGGCCGTTTGGTAATGTCGAGAAGCTCGACAAATGACGTCAAGAGTGGGCGTGATCAAGCAGGAGGGGGGGAGGTGGAACCGGGAACAAGGAGCAGGTCACAGGATCATGGGGTACGACACGCGGAAGCGCAAGAAGGCGGTCCCCTTACAATGCAACTCAGACAAGAAAGTCGCCCTCCAATGGATGTTCTTTTCTGAGGGATAATGTAATAAAGATGAGACAAAAGGGGAAAAATAAGAACATTTTATTATTTTGAAAGAGTTAGGGATTATTTGTAAATAAAAATAAGAGAAAGTTGAAATTTAAATGAATCTAGACGGTTGACATGTTTTATAAAGCTGGAATACCTTAGAGGTGAATATGTAAGGTAACCCATTATAAGAGGTAGACAATAAGCATATAGCTCTACACTAAGAAAATCTTATAGACATCTTAATCTTATCCTTGAACATTTTAAAAATAACTTTACGTTTCAGCTAATTTGATTTATTTAAAGATAATAGAAATAATTCAAATAACGAGTTAAAAAACCCCCGCAGGAAGCAACTGAAGGCAAGGATAATCAATCAATTCAACACCTTGGCTGTCCTTATTTTTCGTACTTCATAAATAGTATTTCCCCAACCTTCTCACCTCTCGCAGCATAGATTTTAATGAGGCATGGCTTATGTACACTCATAGATATGGAAACACAATCAAAGCGACACTTTATCATTGCCTCTCATCGGAGCCCAGAGACCGACTGAGTTGACAAGTGGCAAATGCATATTTCATTCCAACTGAGCTGCCTATCGATAACCCGGCATTATCTCGACTTATCTTACTCGCAAGGATCTGATGGGATGAGGAAAAGCGATGCCGACATGGCCATCATCTCCATCATCTGACGAGGAGAGCAGCATCCCGATGTCTGTTATGTTAGTGGGAAAGGCCAAATCAATTTAACACTTTCAACTAAATTATTCATTTTGCATAATAATTTTCAAATCTGTCAAAAATATACACCCCGACACACACACACCTTCCGATCCAAAAGGCTTTCAGAGGCGTCTGCACTTTCACACGCTCCGGAATGGGGGGAGGGATGGCGTTTGCGGAACGCTTTCCCAAAAAGCACTCAAATAATTCCCGAGCGTAAGCTAAACCAGCGCAAAGTTGCCGAGAGAGCAGCTCACACAACAACACAATAGCAAACGGAAATTGGGGGCAAGGGTAGGAGGTGGTGGTGGTGGCTTGGGGAAAATGGAAAACCCTTTAACCGTGCGTAGGCTCCGACTCCGTCGCCGCCGCCGCCAAGCGTTGCAAATTCTGTTAAGCGAAAATTTCATCAACGGCAAACGGGCTGAATTTTCATTCGCCATTCAGACAGCCCAACCCAGCGTCGAGCCAGGAACGTTCGTTGTCAAAATGAAAGGAAAATGTCTCATAAATCCTTTTAATATTAAATGAGCTCGTTCTACGAGAGCGGGGAAATTCGGAGTCGCGGAGGAAGGGAAAACTCGGGCAACGCACACACTTAAAATTATGTGGCTAATGGGAGCAACTTGCCTGGAAATTGCGCGCGGAACTGCGGAGATGTCTCGAATCGGCGACACATGTTCAGCGACAAAAGGAAAAGCGGCGGAAAAGCGGTGAGAAGGGGTCGGGGGGAAAACAGGTTGGGGAAAGGCCGAAGGACCGCGGCACTCTGCCAATTGTCATTAAATGTAATTTTTAAACCTGTTAGCGCATGTGTGCCATAAAATGTAAGGTTAAAAAGGGTTTTTCTTTTCGGGCCTCCTCCTAGGATGTCCTTTTTTTTATTATTTTCGTTGTTGCCATTTGGTTTTATTGTGAAATTAGTCGGCTAAAGCGGGTTTATTAAAGTTTGCCCCGAAATTCCTGATGCGTTGCCCGAATTTCGAGCCTCAACGGCAGAACTGGCGGTGGGTCACACCGGGGGTGAGTTTCAACGACAACAATTTGTAACATTTGCCGCACTTCCCGCAAGAATTTTGCCGCCGGGGCAGGACCGGGCAGGGATTGGTTGTGGCCCACTCGGAAAAAGAGCTTCAACATCATTCAAAGTGACAAATTATCCATGCAAATTTTATACAAAATAAAAAAGAGGGGTGGACCGAAGAGGCTCGCCTCTACCAGGCAATCCTTTTCGCCTGCCCTCGCCGTGGGAAAAAAGTGTTGCATACTTATGAGTGCCGGCGAAGAGCGTGTCGAGTCGGCTTGAAATATGAGCATTGATAGAAAGTTTGACAAATGCCAAAGGATGCCATTCTGAGAGGCAGATAAGAAGGAAATATATAACA